CACAGCCCCGAATAACTCTCATCCAATCCCGTCGCCGGGACACCCGCCGGATGTGTGGCGGGAGGCGGCAGAACCTGCGTGCCGTACGCAAGGCACGTGCAAGGGCCAGGAGGACAATAACCGAAGCCGCATGTATATGAACACAAACCCTCGTAGTTGCCGGTACCTGTTCCCTCGACGCAAACAGTAGCAGGGGGGACGGTGGTACACGGCGGACCTGGACAATAGTTCCCGACTCGGGAGCAGGCAAAGTCACAGAGGGGACCAAAGTCTGCTGCTTCGCCTGGTGCGGCGTAACCACGTTGACCCGATGTCAAGAGGGCTGGAGGCGGAGCGGGTGTTCCGGTCGTTGTGCAAGTGCATGGCGATGGACACCAACCAAAGTGACAGCTGAAATCACAGAGACCCTGGTAGCCATTTGGGCCAGTACCGAGGACGCAGTTACTGTTGGGTGTGGGAACAGGCGCAAGACTTGTCGTCGACGATGATATGTTGGAAACGCTGGAAGAGGGTACCGCTGATGACGAACTTGGCGGCAACGTTGTGCTTGATCCTGAGGGGATACTCCCGCCGCCGCCGCCGCCAACGCAGTACCGGAACCCTTCTTCGAGCATGCAGGAATCGAGCATGGTCTCGTTCAACATCTCAGGAAGCGATGGGTTCCAGAGGAGGAGTTGCTCCAGCTCGATATTCCAGAGGGAGGCCGTGATCAAGCAGTAATTTGGGTTGGAGAACTCGAGGTACGAAGCGTCGGCTGGCACGTCCATGTATGTGGCGTAGTGGGTGCAGTTGGTCCATGTGCCCGCTGCTAGAGGCGCTGTCGGTACGGCGCTTGGCGTGGAGGACACGGTTGTGCTGGCGTCGGTTTCGTTGGAGATGCCGCTCCATGTCACCGTTGGCCAGGCTACTGTCGCATCAGATGGAAGAGTTGGGACGTAGCAGCTGGATATCGTTTCAGCTCCCGCGTTCAAGCACGGATCCGTAAACCTATCATGGCCATGGATTAGTACTGGTGTTGGAAGTGAGTCAAAGCTACTTGAGAAAAGGCCCTACATTGTTGTCTGTATGGGTGTATATGTCGTTGACGCCGTGGTAGTCGCAACAGAACCAAGCGGGCCGACACAAATCACATAATCGACCATGTTGTACAGGTTTGAGCACTCCGGATTGATGTTTGGGTTCCATGAGATGAGCTGCTGCGTGGTGACGCCCGCTGCGTTGGCAATCTTTCCGCAGGTATCCAAAGGGGAAACGGTGTGCACTCGGCAGGTTTCTGGGATGCAAATGCTCGTTCCAGGCCCGGGAAACTCCCCGCAGTAGGCGGGCAGGTTGTTGACGCGCATGAGGTTGTAGGTTGATACTTGCTTGACACGGCTGATGGACGTACACCAGTCGGAAGCTTGGATGGTGTAGTTGCTTTGGCAGGATAACGTGGGCCTCGGTGTCGATGACGTGGTTGTCGAAGGCATTGTCGGCATAGCGCCTGTATAACCGAGCGCATACTGGCTGGGTGATGTAACAGCCCATGAGGGGGCTGCGTTGCATCTATTTTGCATGATTCAGCATTCTTGGTATATAACGCAAAGCACATGTAGGGGCCGGAGCACTTACGACGCTGTCAGCGATGTGTATTGATCAAAGAGCCCGTCACGCCAGCCAAAAGGGGAGGAGAGACGACTCTTCCAAACGCCAAGGTTGCACTCGTTGCAGTACTCTTCTTCTTCCTCATTTTGGTTCCATTCAATGAACCGGGGAAAGCAATACTCGGTTCCAGCGCTACTTGTGCGTCAGATTGTTCAACGCACAACACACGGAGCGAAGGTAGGTACCTACTCGTTTTGCAGACACGCAAACTCGAAAGCGTGTAGAAGCAGATCGGTGAAGTAAGTGGGAGGGTAAATGGTCCCCGACTCTACGATTGTGTCATTGGAAGAGCAGGCTGCTTGCTGAACAGCCTGGATACCCAAAAGAGACAGTCGGCAGTCGGGGTCGCAGGAAATCTCAATGTCGGTTTCGTTTGGCAGCAAGGCCCCACGAGCAATAGCAAGCAAGGTGGGTGCGCAGGTGATGTTGCGGTAAAATGTGCTCCTAGGTTTTACTCCATGGTCAGCTCCCACCACCTGCTACACCAAAATGCAGCACACCGAGCAGTGACTGACACGCAAGAGGCGGATAGGCCACTGGGTGGTTGGATCCGGGTAATGTAGGCGCCTTCGGGTGTTACCAGGACCTGGGAGAGCGCGCGGGAGAAGAGGGAGAATGTGAGCTATGAGGACGCATTAGAGACTGGACGGCATAAAAGCGGGCTTTGATGAAATCGGCTCAACCTTACGACTCGAAAAAGAAGGTGGCAAGCTGGCCCTCGGAATAGCCTTGAGGTGATCATGTTGATGAGAGACGAGACCAAAACGACACTGGAATGGCACGGGTGAAGATTGATCTGCCCTGACGTTGTCACGGTGAAACCGGGCGAGGGTTGGACCTCAGATTTGAATAGGGTGTCGCTTGGTAAGTTAACTATAGCCTCAACGCAAGCATCTGGCCAAGGTGCCCACCCCCTTGGTTTGTTCCTTAGCGTGTAACTTCTGGTGGACCTGGCTGCGGCTGAAGAAGCCTGCAGGTCAAAAGAATGACCTGCCCGAGGCCTCGTGCACCCCTGGCTTATCCTGCTCAGACTGGTAAGGTCTGGTGGGGCGAAGCTTGGCCAGGGGATGTGTCATGGACATCTGTGATACCTCCCGGTTCAACTCATGAGTGAACTCGCATACCTGAACTCGCATACCTCCACACTCCTTTCTTTACCCAACCAGAGGGTCCGGTCTCACCACTCTGCTATCCAAGCATCTTGCCAAACTGCTGTGGAGCACTCCTGCCAGGCAAAGTGGAGGTATACGAATTCACTGAGTTGAAACGGTACTTGATATGTTATGAGATTTCCATAGTGTCCCAATTGTCCCCGGACTTGATGAAGCTGTCTCGGTCTTTCTCAGAACGAAATAGCCTCACGACAAGGTGGCCTCTCCACTCAGTATTAGGCCAAGCCCAATAATTCGGTTATCATCTTGGTGCCTGTTTGTTAGAAGGATGTGAAAGGCAGGGATGAGTGGTGACTTTTGACTGGTGGCATTGATGACTTTCTGCAAGGCAAGCTCGAAGTTTACCTGCATTCGTACCCTAGTTAATGCAGGGACAGCGCGCAGGACAGGACTCGCGACCTGGACAAAGGGTTGAGTTTCCTAATGTCACCCTGCTAAGCGCTTTCGGCTGGGGTTGAGATAAAGACGGAACGCTCGACCCTCTAGTCCTGGCGGAGGCAGGCGAGGCGGGCCCAGCTCCCGAAGTCCCACCTCTCCGGGACCCACCTTTTTAGGACCTACATCTCCAGGACCTATCGCCGTTATATCCCTCCCCTGTATAGCGCATACTAAAAAAGGTTGCTTTGCTGGAGGCTCGGAAGCAAGTTCAACAATCGCAGTGCACTTTATCTGTTGCATTGAGCAGTGTGGTGTACTGCAGTGGGTAGTAAGTATGGCTGGTTTGCGAAAGCGGTTCGCATGGTGAAAATAGGAAGCAGGGGTGGGTGAAATTATGTAGGAACCTCGCTGGCAACAAAAGTCAGCCGACGTTGTTGCAACGACACTAAATATCCTTTGCAACCACACCTGAGACCAGCCCACGAACCGCGGGGGCTGCGGGATGGGTGGACCCTCAGCACTGTTCGCCAGATGGTGAGCATGAGGTGCGATAACGTAAGAGCGGCTGTCTTCTCTTCTGCTCCCGACGCTAATGCTCAACAGTTAATCCTTATGTACCTGAGACTAATATGGGAGTCCTGGCGCCGTCTTATCCCCGGAGACGGGATATATAAGTTGGATTCCGTCACAGTAAAAGCAGTCGAGACGAGATGCACAAGGTATTCCAACGTCGATAAGGAAGATATATATGTTCAAACCCTTCCCGGTGAACAAACACCTGGGGCCGCCCGCGCGGGCGGCCGGGCATCGCAAAAATCGAGCTGCAGTACCTTTGCGACCTGTTTTCTCGATTCCAAGGGGTTGCAGCTCCGCGCAGCCGTTGCGCGGCCTGTTGGCGGCCGAGGACGTCGATTTCGAGGATCAAAAGTGAGATTTTCGAGCGCCCGA